GTCCGCCCTATCCTCATATGGTGCCGGAAGTAGAATCGGGAAACCCGGTGCTCGCGTCTGCCGTCACTCGGATGGTGTTCAAAAAAGGCCGTATGACCGTTCCACCAGCCGATGCACTCAAAGCCTGTGGGCTCTATCCAGGGAGGGCTCGGGAGCCGGACACGCCGCTATCTTCCGAATATGCTTCATCAAAGCCTCCATCTCCTCGTACTTTAGCTGGAACTGGTAGTGAACCACCAGTGTTATCTGCTAAGGGCACAAACCTAACATATGGCGAAATGGAAAGTCGGAGGAGAGCTGCTTTGCCCATTGTCCAGCTTCAGAACGGCTGGGATGCGGTGCACAGTCTGTTCCAGACCGAGCCTTACGTCTTAGCAAGGCACAAGGACTTTCTATGAAAGCCTCCATAATGTCCACCTTCCTGTCTTGTCCTACCGGATCTGAAAATTCCAAGTGCGCAGTACTACACACACACACGAGTCTATTACCATGCAGTACCCACCTACCGGCAAGCAAAAAAAAAGTTTCCCCATATAAAATGCCTAATTTCACTTATATAGCATTTAACTAAAATTGAAGTTATTAGTATGGAATAATGTCTATTATATGAGGAAATTCATTCCGTTTGATATCATTATCTTGCTATTTTAATTATGTATAGTATGGTTAACGTACATGATAAGCATGTGGCACAAACAAGCAAGTGGCACAAAAATCTTAACCTTGAAGATGGATATCGCAATAAAAATACCACAAAATATCTGATCAATTGCTCGCCTTCCTTCCTCTACTGTCATTGCCCCTCCTTTCTGTAGTCGGGTTCTTTTTGCCCTCCGCCGCCGGCTTAGTGTCTCATTCGCCTGTCGAAGATCTTGGACTTCAGCCCTTAATAAAGCCATCTCATGCATGCATAACTGCTTTTGTTCCTTTGGATAGAGACTTAATTTCTTCTAAAATTGACTCTGGGGAGCTGCTTTGATGCCTTCTGATTCGTCTTTTGAGGTATTCGGATTGAGATTTAGCCTCGCGGACTGTCTTTGGAGTCTTTGAAGTCCAAGGTTGAGCCTGGCTAGCCTCCTCCTCAGCCGGTGTTGGAGTCCGTAGCTACATATCAAGCTTCGAGACCACACTTTCCGGGTCAAAAGGAGCAAGTCCAGCTCCCTTGAAACCTCCTTTGATATTCTTCTCGGTCATAGTAGCTTGAAAAGCGGCGTAAAAGGCCGGGAGGAACTCGGTCTTGGAAACGTGGGTTATATACCCTCACTGAAGATAGCCCGGTTGTCGCACTGGATGTGCTTAAAATGGATTGAAGGTCGGGCCATTCATAATGAGCAGCAGTAGTGAGTTGATTGATTCTCTCTTCTGTGGGGGGTATTCCATCCCATAGGTTTTACTTTAAATCACCCAGCTTGATTACTAAGGGCTGTTGTTCCTGAGGCTCGTTGAGACCATGCCCGGCCTGCGACACTTAACAATGAAGAAATGACCGAACATTTCAGGATAAAATTGCAGTCGCCACACGCAACACTGGAATAGTTATGGGGTCGTATTTAATAAACCGAGATAGCTAGGACAGGGTTGCCCCTCCCGTCACGGGAATATATGCGCCATTCACCCACGAAGCTTTCTCATCACACAGTTCCGCAACTACCCAAGCCACCTCCTCCTGTTTTGCAAAACGAGCTGCCGCAGGCGTTCTATCCCACTTTTCCCGCAAAATACCCGAATAGCTTTCCGGGGCTGCAAGTAGCTTTTCTGTAGCTACCGGCCCGGGCGCAACTGTGTTGACAGTACATCTGTACCTGCGCGGAAAGTCTCGAGCCCAACAACGGGTAAAAGACTCTATCATGCCTTTGGTTCCGGCGTAGATACTCAAATTTGGATCGGGATCACGCGAGCTGATGCTCCCGATATTAATAATACGGGAGTTGGCCGGAGATAATATTGGGAGGACAGCTCGAGTGAGCAGCAATGTCCCCCGACCATTGACGCCCACTATGTCATCCCATAACTTATTGACCTCCGCGTCAGTTGCTGTAGCTATATCGCAAAATGCATTGCGACCCGCATTATTCACAAGAATATCGAGCTTTCCGAACTTTACGGATATGACGTCTGCGAGAATCCCGGGCCCATCGGTAGTTGCGAGATCGGCTTGGACCATTAGTGATTCGGCTCGGTCGTTGTTGGATATCTTTGATAGTACTTCTTTCGCAGAGGGCTCTTCTGATGGATGTGGGTAATTGATGATGACCGTGGCGCCACGTGCAGCGAGTTCCTCTGCAATTGCGGCCCCAATCCCAGAAGAAGAACCGCTGACCAGGGCGATCTTGCCGTGGAGTGCTTTCTGGGAGGTGGACATAGTGAATGGTTGTGCAAAATCGGTTGATCAAACAGGTTCGGAAGATTGAGCAATGGTGGAATGTCTACGGTTTTTGAAGACTTCATTAGCGAAGCTATCATCATGCCTTCTGGGCCTTCCGTAAAATGCCTTGTGGCAGAGCCGAAAGAAGTGTGTGACTCAAATGGCGTGCCATCGCAGTGTGTATGGTACAATGGGCCGTGGCCCGCCAGAACTCCGCAGAACAACAGCGACTTACTTCGGCATAACCCGAAATGCCGATCGGAAAGGACAGGGGGCGGCGAGTTTCGCATGTCCGCTCTCCGCTCTCCACTCCCGGCGTCAGCCCAAAGGTCAACGTCATGATTCGCTAGTCCTGTAACAGTTAAGGTTTGAGAGCAATGTTCTAACCGCGTATTCTTCGCATAAGGGTTCGGATAAGTAGAGCTGGGTGGGGAACGTTTCCTGCAGTCTCGCTGAGCCTTCCACTTACCCGCACATCAGCAACCTCACTTACGATCGTTTACCTATCGGGGTCCGGTAAGGCCCCGAAAGGCCGGTATGTGCATTGCTGCCACCTGGAATGCAGCTGGAAAGGGGGAGTTTCCCAAACCGACCGACAGCACTTGCCCGCGACATGAATCACGCAGTGTCACTGGGCATGATCCTGTACTGCCGATCAGCCTTGGAAAGGGAGAGCGAGATGATATAAAATCAGGACTCGCCTTCAAACTGAGACATGTCAAAAACAGCAGAATCCGAACGACGGCACACGACGATGAATGAGACAATTGCCAACAATGCCCTACCCTGGGAATCTTCACCCCGATGGCAGCTCATCGCAACATGCAGTGCCATCTTCGGGTTAGCCTTGTCGGCTCGAGCCTTTTTTCAACCCAATGACTTGTCCAATTTTCCTGCTGTTGGTAAAGGATCCCTGTGGGCTCGAAGGAAGCAATACGCTTCTGGTTCTGCATGGGAGCTGTATGAGGAGGGCTACCGAATGGTGAGGTAGCTTCATTACATTCGACCATACTGTCGCTGACGACCCAGCAGATCAAGAAGGGCGCGGATTATTTCCGCATTGCCACAACAGCACGTAACGTCTACCCATCCCCTATCTTCTGAACATAGTATAACCATTCAACAGCTGCCGAAACCGTAGTCGTGTCCTCGAAGTTCTTGGCTGAGCTGAAGAGACTGCCGGACGATGTGATGAGTATGTCGGAGGCCATTTCCGAGGTAATCATTCTGAACACAGGTCGTGTTGAAGATGATGAGCTTACAGTATGTTAGATACTTCAAAGCCCATACACAAAGGTTCCACCCACAATTCCAGGTCTGCCACATATTGTGAAGTCATCCTTGACTCCAGCCTCAGGTACGTGTGTTCAGAGGTCACGCCGCAACCGCCAGCGAGCTACTAACACTAGGCCACACAGTCAGACTAAACCCTATGGTTTCTCAAGAAGTTCACGATGCTATGGCTCTTGAACTTCCACAGACAAAAGACTGGACTGAAGTCAATATCAACGAAAAGGTGCTTCGTATCATTGCCATGGCCTCTGGCCGTGTCGTCGTCGGTCCTGAATTATGTCGCAACGAACAGTATCTTGACGCGGTGGTCAATTACAATATTGATGTCATGACTGCTGCATATATTGTTGCATTAGTTCCGCAGTGGATTCGCCCCTTTGTTGCGCCCTTTCTTCCATACATCAAGCGACTTGACAAGCGGCTGAAAGACGCAACCTCGTTGCTACGATCGGTCATTACAACGCGACAGGAAGCTGCTGGGAACCTAAATACCGAGAAACCAGATGACATGCTACAGTGGCTAATAGACGCACAAAGTGCTGAGGAGAAAGTTGACATTCAGAAGCTTGCTGAGATGCAGCTATCTGCAATTTTTGCAGCCATTCACACCACTTCCCTGGTTACCACGAATGCGTAAGTCGAGAACTTAGCTCTCTATGCCTTTCTGACATGTACAAGTTCTATACGCTTGCTTCTATGCCTGAAATCGTGCCGATTCTTAGGGAAGATGTTGAGCAGGCTTTAGCAACCTCTAACGGCGAATTCATCAACCTACCCATGCAGAACATGAAGAAGCTCGATAGCTTTCTGGAGGAGATCCTACGGTTTCACACACTTGGTGCCGGTAGGTCGTCCCTTCATCTGTTTATGTAATACCCATGGAATACCCAGGTTCGTTCAAGCGTAAGGTACTCAAACCTTTCAATCTCTCCAATGGCCAGCACATTCCAGCAGGAGTTTATCTAGAGCTGCCAGCTGGCGGTATAGCCTACGACGAAGATATATTTCCAGATCCCAAGACCTTTGATGCCCTTCGCTTTTATAAACTTCGACAATCCAAAGACAAGGAGGCATCACGTACTAAAGCGGCCGAGGTTGTCGCGAGTAGTCAATTCGTGGGTGTAGGTGCCACGAGTCTCACATTCGGGTACGGGAGACATGCATGCCCTGGCAGATTCTTTGCTGCGAACGAAATCAAAATGATTTTGGCTGTTGCCTTATTGCTCTATGAGATAAAGAACCCCCCTGGGATTAATGGAAGGCATAAGAATCTATTGCATGGGTCGCATGTAAGTTTTGTCCTTCCTCAGTACAGCCCCCATACTAATGCGTGATAAAGCATACCAGATCCCAAACAGCCATGGTCAGAAAGAAGGAGCAGTAACTACTGATTTCCAATAGATTTAGGACATAGTTAGGGGTTTGGATGGCACTCTGTATGCGATTTATGAGGTTTTTGGTGCCTACATATCACTGAGGAACTATAATCGTCATACTTTTCTCTTCGCTTTAGACTTTCCATGCCTCGCATTGACCTTTAGAGGTACAGTGGGATGCAATAAGTTTGAATACCGGGCGTGTATCTTCTTTTGCCGCTGACCTCTTTGAGCCAGCTTCCACGTGCATATCAGTTTTTGCACGACTGATAAGAGTAGTTTGATTGGCTAGATCGAGCTTCTTTCTCAAATTAGAAGCAGGCTGAACTCCAAATAGGCTAGACAGGGGGTACCAGTACTTCAAAAGGTATTCAAACTTATTGCATCCCACTATATCCTGGGTACCTGGTCATATTAGCAAGACCTTCATCTCGGCGAGACCGGCACATTGTTGTTTATACTGTATGCAAGTGAAAGCTGGCTCGAAGAGGCTAGCGGAAAAAGAAGATACACGCCCGGTATTCAAACTTAATGCATCCCACTGTATTGCGCAGTAGT